CTGCTCTTTAGAAGGCCAGATCCTGAAGTTGAAACTCAAGTACTTTGGCCACCTAATGAGAAGGAAGGACTCACTGGAGAAGAGCCTGATGCTGGGAAAGATTGAGGGCAATAGAAGAAGGGGACGACAGAGAATGAGGTGGCTGGATGGAGTCACTGAAGCAGTAGGCGTGAGCTTAAATGGACTCCAGAAGATGGTACAGGACAGGAAGGCCTGGAGGAACGTTGTCCATGGGGTCGCGATGGGTCGGACATGACCTCGCAACTAACAACAACAACAAGTTCTCACTCAAGGCACAAATGGCCAGGTTCAAATTATCCAAATATATTATACAAAGATCTAATTCTCTGTAAAAGGCTATAATGATAGGAAAGGTGGAAAAAGGGAAGAAGAGGATGACCAGCAGCAAGGCCACTCATTGAAGTGGTGATGGGGAACCAGATTAAGGACAAATCGTGGAGAAAAATCTGTGTAGCCACTAGGAGTCAACAATAACTTGATTATGCTCAATTAGTTAACCAATCAGTAGGGAGATAAGAAATGAAGTCACTTGAATGGTCTAAAATTTTCAGCCTGCTTTTATATGGATATTGGAATGATGAAAAGAACAGGATGCCAAGGCCCGTTTGATCACCAAACCCCGAAACATGCAGAAATATTTGGACCCCAACACTCCTAGGTTGATTTGCAAGAGCTTCATCAATTCATTTTTCCTTAAATGAACCAACTTCATTCCTGAATTAATGTAGGGTTCTGATTGCATGCACTGCTTTCCTCTGGAATTTTGTACTTCTTGGAATTTTGCTAATGCACCTTGTGGACCCAGAACCTTGTGCAACTTTGCAAATTGGGGAAGAAACATGTATTTTAGCAGACCTGAGTTTAAGTTCAGATTTTTTTTTAAGGGAAACAGCTCACAGAATGTATATTTTATTTTAAACAGATGTAGAATTTAAACGCAAATGTTCATATTTTCAAAGTATGAAAATAGGCATTTAAATTCTATATATATATATTTTTATCCAAAATGGATGTGAAAAATTTAAAAGGTTAAATCAGGTTGAAGACTCTCTAAAGTACTGTTTCTCAACCTTGGTGACATTAAAATGTTGGATTTCAACTCTCTGAATTCCCCAGACAGCATGGTGATGTATCATGACATCACAACCCGAGGCCCATCCTTTTGGATTAGTGCCCCATATTTTGTAAATATGTGTTCCCCTTCCCCAATTTGCATGGCTGTTCACAGAGGGGAATCAAAATATGGTGAACATAATTACTATCTTGACTTTCTCTCTCTCTCTCTCTCTCTCTCTCTCTCTCTCTCTCTCTCTCTCACACACACACACACACACACACACACACACAAACAAACACATAGGTTGTTCCACTGATTACTTGTTCTCACTATGAGGAAATTTATCCTTAGTTCTATGTTGGTTCTCTCAATAATAATAATAATAATAATAATAATAATAATAATAATAATAATAATAAAGTTGGAAGGGACCTTGGAGGTCA